CACCACATAAAAATAAAGTTTCATCTATAACTAATATATATATGTATATATATATAACAAGAGAGAGAAAACAAATAAATGCTGGTGTGTCAGTTAGCTTTTTGTCACTGTGACAAAACATCTGAGGAAAACAACTTAAAGGAGGAAAGAGTTACTTTGGTTCACGGTTTCAGAGGTTTCAGATCTATTGCTCTATTGCTACGGGCCTGTGGTGAGACAAAGCAACATGGCAGAGGGTGGAGAGGGTGTGCTGGAGCAGAGCTGTTCACCTCATAGCAATCAGAAAGTAGGCAGAGATAGGAAGGTCCAGGGACATACCTTTCCAGGAGTGCTTAACCACTGAGCCATACCCCTAGGCATACTTTTCCAGGGCATGCCACAGTGACCTTCTTCCTCTGAAGGGCCCACATCCTGCAATAGTGCCATCAGATGAACCATTGATGAATTTAGCTGTTGCTGAGGTCGCAGCCCCTGATCTAGTCATTTTCTATTTCTGAACACTGCTCACTGGGGACCAAGCCACATGAGCCTTTGGGAGACAACCCAAATCCAAACTACAGCGGCTGGTGAGGATGCAGAGGAACGGGAACTGTCACCCATTGTTGGTGGGAATGTAAAGTAGAATGTAAAGTAGTACAGCCATTATGAGAAAGGGTATAAAATTTACTAAAAAAAAAAAAATAGATATAGAACTACCATAGGATCCAGCAATCCCGCTACTGAGTGTACATCCAAAGGAACTAAAATCAGTATGCCAAAGAGATGTCTGTCAGCTGGAGGTGGAGCTATTGGTGGAGCTCTTGCCTAACATGCATGAGGCCCTGGGTTTGATCCCAAGTAGAGAGAGAGAGAGAGAGAGAGAGAGAGAGAGAGAGAGACAGAGACACAGAGAGACAGACATCTGTTATCACATTTATTATAGCACTGTTCACAATAGCCAAGATACAGAATCAACATAGTTGTCCATCAACAAATAAAAAAAAAAAAAAAAAAAAAAAAAAACCACACACACACACATACACAGCAGAGTATCATTCAGCCATAAAAAGAATGAAATTCTGTCATTGTAGCAACATGGATGGAACTGGAGGACATGTTAAGTGAAGTAAGTCAGGAATAGAAAGATAAATGCCATGTTCTCAGTTATACGTGGAAGCTAAAAAGTTGATCTTAAAGTAGTAGAGAATAGAAGAGTGGTTACCAGATCTTGGAGGGAGAGAGGGTGGAGATAGCCTGGTTGACAGGGAAATGGGTGCAGTTGGATGGGAGATATAATTAATAGCTATTAATCAATGCTATTACAATAACTTCTAATGTTCTACGTTATGGCAGGGTAACTATGGTTGATGACAACTAATTGAATATTTCAAAGTAGCTAATAGAGAAAATTTTGAATGTTTTTAATGCAACGAAATGATATGTGTCAGCCAGGCATGGTGGTGCACACCTGTAATCTCAGCGACTTGGGAAGCTGAGGCAGGAAGGTTACAAATTCAGAGCCAGCCTTAACAACTTAATAAGGCCTTATGCAACTCGGCGAAGTCGTCTCTCAAAAAAATAAAAAAGGGCTGGGGGTGTGGCTCAGTGGTTAAGCACTCCTGGATTCAATATCTGGCACAAAAAATAAAGAAAAGAAAGAAAGAGGGAGGGAGGAAGGGAAGGAGGGAGAAAAGAAGAGAAAGAAAGAAAAGAAATGATATAATGATTTGTGTCTGAGATGATAGATATGCAGATTACCTTAATCTGACATTAAACATTGTTTACATGTATTGAAATGTCAGTCTGTACCCTAAACATGTACAAAAATTGTGTCCATTTTTTTAAAAAGCAGCTTATGCTTCCTTTTCACACCTCATATTTTAAAATCACCACATTGAACAGTTAGATCCTTTGGTTAAATACAAATGCTGGTAAGATGCAAAAAAAAAAAAGAAAAGAAAGGCATGGTAGATGACTAAATAAGAAACCTGTGGGCGGGCTGGGGGTGTGGCTCAGTGGTAGAGCACTTGCCTAGCACGTGTGAGGCACTGGGTTTGATCCTCAGCACCACATTAAAACTTAAATAAATAAAGTTTTAAAAAAAGAAACTTTCAAAAATGATCAAATCATCACAATAAAATTCATCTGTAATGTACAATCCATGTTTTATTGTGTTGCCACCAATGTGAAAGTGGTAGGGAGGCAGCTGAGTCACAGATAGAAAAATCACTGCTTTAGAAGGAAATCTTCTGCTGATTTTCTCTCACACCAGTAGAGTCAGCTTGCTTCCATAAGTCAGTCCTTGTCACATTAGGGAAGGTGGGGAGGTCGCTCAGGAGGGCCAAGGTATTTTCCTCTCCAGGAAGCACGTGTTCACAGATTGCCACCAGATGTCATGACCCCATGAAAAATCAAAAAAGGACTCAACTGAATGAAACAGTCCTGCTGTTTCCTGCTGTAGGGGCTGAACCATCTCCAGCAAATGGTTTCTGAGGCTGCTCCATGGCTGTCCATCATCAAAAATGTTGCCTCCCATGATTGTTGGAGTATTTTTTTTCCCCCTGAGCATGATACAAAACCCTCAACCTAGAAACATCTCAGGGAATACTGTGGTCCTCAGATGCTCAGTTGAAGTCCTGTCCTAGAATGTTGATCCTGCCTTCTTGATGGACCTGCTCTCAATCCCACAGGAAGAAAAAGAGAGGTTCACCTGCCCAGTGGTCCAAACCCGAGACCCAGAAGTTGCTCATGTTGTTTCTGCTCTCTCCTGTTAGCCACAGCTGTTTACGGCACACACTCCGGGCTGGGGAGTAGTTCATGGTAGAGCACTTGCCCAGCATGCACAAGACCCTGGGTTCCATCCCAACGCCATAAAACACACACGTGTGTGTGGCACATGCACACACTCAAGGTGAAAGACTGTGCCCAAGAAGAAGAGGAGAAGAGATTCATGGTCAGTGGGCATTCCTGCCACAAACTTTCCTGTCTGCTGCTCATACCAGGCAGGGAGCCCCTTGAAGAGATAAGAGTATCTCTCCATCATGGGGAATCCAGTACCTGTGCCCACTGTGGACTTGGCTGTGACCAAACACTCAGGAAGCAAACATAGTCAAGAGAGAGACCTGGAAACTTCCAGGAGAGCTGTGCTGGGTACAAGGGAATTCAGCGCATAGGGCAAGCTGTGCAGTAGATTTCAGGAGGAAGACAGAACAGCATGATGGTGATGGGAGGAGCCTCTAGATTTGGACAGCACTGATTTTAAACTTTTTACTAACAAAGAAACTAACTGATACTTTCCGAGCCACTGCACCTATCTCTGTAAAAAAGAATGACTAAATTCACCAGGAGGGGTAATTGTGAGTCATAAATTAAATGTGAAGTAGGTCCTCGACAAATAATGGCTGATAGTTTTATTTTGCTAATAGCCCCAAAGAGGTATTTCCATCAATATCAGTGACTAAGGACAGAATATAATTGTTGCAATACGCAGAATCAGGGTCATTCTGCGTGGATTGGGCTGGCAATGAAAAAGCCACACAGACACAGAAAATACCTTTTTCACGGTTCAGGATGGCTTTGCAGAATCAAGAATCAAGAATCAAGCTCCCACACTGGAGGGCACGGAGAAGCAAGGGAGGCAGGCAAGAGAGAGAGCACACCTGAAACTCCCCTATTTATTGGGGAGAACCCATTCATAGAATATTCCACCCAAATAAGGCAAGGGATTAGTTTTGGAGGGTGGAGTGTTGCTTGGTGATGCCTTATGGTCAGCAGATTGACTGACATCTTGGAAAGCCACACCCATCTCAGGTGCTGTGTGGGATCCAAGGCAAAGCAGGCAAAAAGGCACACCTAAGGTGCACAGCCCAACCAGGCAGCAATGTCAGTCCAGTTCCCTCACAGGCTCAAATGCGCATAGCTCACACACACAGCCCATGGCTGGCTCGTGACATATAATACCAACTGTTATGGTTTAGCTATGAGGTATCCCCCAAAAGCTCATGGGTGAGACAATGCCAGAAAGTTTAGAGGTAAAATGATTGGTTACCAGAGCCTTGACCTAATGAGTGGATTAATCCACTGATATGGATTAACTTTATGATAACTGTAGGCAGGAAGTGTGTGGCTGTAACAGGCAGGTCATCAGGGGTAGGACTTTGGAGGTTATATTTTATCCCTGGTGAGCAGAACTCTCCTTGCTTCCTGATTGCTAAATTCTGAGCTGCTTTCCTCTGCCACACCCTCTGCCATCATATTCTGCCTCACCTCAGGCACAGAGCAATGGATTTAGCGATGAATGGACTGAGACCTGTGTGAGGGGAGCCCCAAAATAAACTTTTCTGCCTCTAACTATTCTTGTCAGGTCTTTTGGTCACAGTCATAAAAAAGATAACTAAAATAGCAACTAACATTCATTATACTGTTAGTATAAGGGTTTTTAAAAATTAATTAATTAATTAATTTGGTTTAATTTGTTATACTAGTATAAGGTTTACATAACTTTTTTTTGATCCTGTAAGTAGGTGTTATTATTCCCATTTTACAGAGGAAGAAGTTGAGGCATAAGAAAATTAAGCAATAGGCCCAATGTTCCACACCTATTTATAGGGGAGCCAACTGATCTATAAGTGGGATGAGAACTACACAACCTGGCCTCATGAAGTTCTTCATGGCAACAGTTGGTCTAAAATGAGTGATAGAAAAATGGTGTTACCTGGACTTTTTTGGTGCTACTGGCCAGCTAGATCACCTTGGATCTGTTTCCTTATTTTACATTGAAGGTGCTAGACATAATAATTCTTGATTCTGAAGAATAGTTCAGGAAGAGGCTTTTGCAAATGGGGTCCAAACCTGCTAATGACATCATAGAGAGGAGAGTTCCAAGAGAAGAGTCAGGCCTTCCTAGAAGCCCAGTGCCATAGTTGGCATTAAGCTCAGCTTAGGAGAGAAGAGAAATCCGGGGAGGGAACTGTTGGTTCCAACTCTTTAGCTCTCTTCATTCTACCATTCCCAGCACAGTTATGGATCAATCTTCAGTGACTGAAAGGATTCAAAATGACTTGGATACATTATCTCACCCCCACTCATCATCCCCATACCACCGGCCAGGCCCTAGTGGAGCCCACCATCATGAGACCCATCACCACAGGGGGCCCCACCATCACAGTGGGCTCCGTCATCATGGTGGACCTCACTACCAAGACCCTGAAAATCCCTACTCCTATCCTTTCCACCACCGTGACAAGGCCCACTATCGTGGCAGGGCTCACCACTATCCATCCCCTGGTGAGGGTCTCCCCCATGGCACTGTCCATTCTCAACATTATTCTGGTGAGAACCACTTTAATGATGAGCATCACTATGGTAGTAGGATGCATCGTGGTGGTGGGTCCCACAATTCTGGAATCCACCACCACGGTGGAACCCACCACCATGGGGAGTCCCGCCAGCATACTGATTCCTTCCACCGTGGCGGGCCCCACCACCATAGCAAGCATCACCATTCTGGTGGGCACCACTATCATGTTGGGGCCCACCATCCTGGTGAAGATCAAATTCATAACTACTATGGTGAGACCCATCACCTTGGAGAAAATTTATCCCAGTACTCCTCTGCTGCGTTTTACCACCAAGGTGAGCCTCCCCATCATCCCCAAGGCGAGCCTCCCCACCATCCCCAAGGTGAGCCTCCCCATCATCCCCAAGGCGAGCCTCCCCACCATCCCCATGGCGAGCCTTCCCACCATCCCCATGGTGGGCCCTACCAACATGGTGAAGACTACCACCATGATGAGGCCCATCTACCTGAACCCCACCACTACAGCAGGCCCCACTATCCTGATTCCCACCACCACCGAAGACATACTCCTCATGGAGAGAGCTCCTCTTACCGTTCCTCTGAGGGGTCCAACTTCCGTGGTGTGCATCATCGTGGTGGTCACCACCGCAGGGAACACTCTGGTGAGCACCATCCCGGGGAGAACAAGTTGAGCGGACCACCAACCACAGAGCCACGCAAGTCCCGCAGCTTGCTGGGCAGCTCCCCCTCTTATATGGCATCCCACTCACCTGGCATAACTCACACCAGAAGCTGGGGGCACAGCGTGACTCAGTCCCATGTCACATTTTACTCATCCCCCTCTCGGAGGTCCAGCAAGATTCACCCCCGCAGCTCCAAAGACACAGAGAGCTGGAGTGAAGATGAGCACTTTCAGAAGCGCAAACGTGAGTCTCTTCTGGTCCTCCCCACCCCAGACCCCACCGCCCAGCCCAGATTCAGCTGGGTCTGACCTTGCACACATCAGGAAGCTTGCCATTCACCTGCACCCATTTGTGCCCGCTAGTTCCCCTTCTCACTGTTCACCATCCGCTCTTTCATTCCCTGCGTTGTGCACCTCTGCAGGCCACGAGGTGTTTCTTCACTTGGTCACTGCTTTGCTCACATATTTACTTCTCAAATGTTGAACCTCTTATTGACTGTGCTTAGGTCCTGGGAGAATAAGGAAGGATCCAGCATGGCTCCTGTTCTCAAGGGGGATCTAAGACTGAGGGGGTCACTGAGGCCATCAGAGGCTATCCAGTACTAGGAGCCTGTTGTCTTCCATATCAGAACATGTACCTCGGTGGCTTCTGTGTGGCTACTTTCCCCCTACTAACTATGAGCCGCTGGGAACTAGTGCCTGCATGAGGGCCCTGTTGGAGGGTAGGGAGGGACCTTATCTGGTAACTCACAAACTCCCAGATTTGGTTCCTAGTAGTTCAATAAATATGGCGATAGTCTTACAACAAACAAGCGAAGAGAGATGAGTAACTTACTGGATGGGGGCAAGATAGGCATCCAGGAGGAAGGGAAGTTCAAGGATCTCAAAGGGAGAGGGAGGCTCAGCAAGAGGATGAGGTGAGGAGAGTGAGGGTTTCCATGCATAAGCTGCCATGTGGGCAAATAAAGACGTGGAGATTTAGTGTCAGGAACCCTCAAAATCCACTCAAGCCACTCCAAATCCCAAACGGGCTGGCCCCTGGTATGACAGAAGTCAGGACTTTGGTCAAGATCAGCACAGGACTAGCCTACAGTGCTATTGGTGAATGGCAGCAGGCCAACAGGCAGGGTTGATAATGACCCCCAACCAGTCTGGGAGGGGGCATGAGATCCCCACACCCGCTACAGAGATGTAACTTTCTGGCTTCCTTACAGTGGGCCGATCCCCGCGGGCCCACAAGAAGATGCACACTATGGACCTCTTCCAGTGGTTGTGGGATAAATTAAGCCACCTCGTTTGGGGCTTCCGGAGACTGATCTGGAGGCTGACCCAGTCCCTGGCCTTTGAAACCTTCATCTTCCTCGTCGTCTGCCTCAACACCGTCATGCTTGTAGCCCAGACCTTTGCTGAGGTCGAGATCCGGGGTGGTAAGAACCACGGGGCCCTGTTCCTGTGGAGGAGGTCACCAGGTAGCCACAAGGTGGCGCATCTGCTCTAAATGGGCCTCATCCAGGGCCAGGAAATTTATATAATTTAGTACACTTGATCCTCTATCCTTTGAATTCAGTGACACTGGGGTGTTAGAGACAGGCTAAGAAAGATACTGCAGAGGTCAGCTGGAAACCCACTGAACAGGAGGCTGTGCTGTTCACAGATGTAGCCACCAGGTGGCACATCTGCTCTAAATATGCTGCTGTGGGTGGGCAGGGTGTGGGGAGCCCTGGGAGCAGGAAGTTAAAAGCAGCCTGTGGGAAGCCTGGGGAGGCTGGCCCCTAAAATTACCTGGAGCAGTGAGAAGGAAAGGACCCGCCACATGGTCATTGTCCATCTCTATTCTAATGCATTTAATGCCCACGACAATTCTGTCCAGCAGACTGTTATTATCCCCACTTTGCCCACAAAATGAAGGTACAGTGTGGTTAAGTCGCACAGCCATTTAGGGCAGACCCAGGGAGAGCATGGGTATTTGGGCTTGCATGAGGCCGCTGTGGACAGAGGGAGAAGGAGGAGGCTGGGAGGCTGGGGACAGTCCTGATGACCCCCTGGTGTCCCTACAGAGTGGTACTTCCTAGTCTTGGACTGCATTTTCCTCTGCATCTACGTCATGGAAGCCCTGCTCAAGATCATTGCTCTGGGCCTGGCATACTTTTTCGACTTCTGGAACAATCTGGGTGGGTGGAAAGGGGCTGCGGCCGGTGGCAAGGCAGCACTGAACTGCCTGGGGGAGGCTAAGGAGGAAGGAGGAGCAGTGAGGTGTCGGCACAGGGAGGCCACTGCCACTCAGACACCGTCTACCCTCAGACTTCTTCATCATGCTCATGGCCGTGCTGGACTTCGTGCTCATGCAGGTCAACTCCCTCTCCTTCTCCTTCTACAACCACAGCCTCTTCCGGATCCTCAAGGTCTTCAAGAGCATGCGGGCCCTGAGGGCCATTCGAGTACTGCGGAGGCTCAGGTCTGATTGTAGGGACTCTGAAGGAAGAGGGGACACAGGCCTGGGTTCCCAAGGAATCCACTGTGGGGCTGAGGATGTGGCTCAGAGGCAGAGTGTTGCCTGGCATGCACCAAACCCAGGGTTGAATTTCCAGTCCTACAAAAACAACATCAGAAAACAAACCAAGGAATCCACTGTGACCTGCTCAAATGATGGGGCAAGGGCAGCCGCAGACCCCAGCCTGCTTCCAATAAGCCTCCTCCGGGAGCCATCCCTGGGAGCCACCTCTTCATTTCCAGGGAAGCAACAGGATTCCCCCAAGTCACCAGCAAATCAGGGACCCTGTGCTTTCAGTACCAGCTCTGGCTACTGCCACTGACCTCCTCCCACCCCCACTGATTCACCTCCCTCTCCATCTCTGCCCACAGCATCCTGAACAGCCTCCAGGAAGTGACAGGAACCCTGGGCCACTCCTTGCCATCTATCGCAGCCATCCTTACACTCATGTTTACCTGCCTCTGTATCCTGTGCCCTGCGGCTGGGGCAGTGCATGGAGGGGACAGGGTGGCAGGAGTGAAAGCAGGAGGAAGGGCACAGGGGCAGGAAATAGGAGCTTGGTTTGGTCCTAAACAACCAGTCCTCTTCTCTGTGGTCCTGCGGGCACTATTCCGCAAATCGGACCCCATGCGCTTCCAGAACATCTTCACCACCATCTTCACCCTCTTCACTCTGCTCACCCTGGATGACTGGTCCCTCATCTACATGGACAGCAGGGCCCGGGGTAGGCAGAGGGCAGGAGATGGGCACACAGACCTTGAGGGCTCAGCTACCCCACCTGTGATTCGGGGCTTCTGAAGCCTGGGGTAGGGGTACAGCAAGGGTGGGAGGAGACTGCTCAATTGACACTCCTGTCTCCCCCTCCCGCAGGCGCCTGGTATATCATCCCCATTCTCATGATTTACATCATCATCCAATACTTCATCTTCCTCAAGTGAGGACCCTGCTCTGCTGCCCAGCCTCACTCCCAAGCTCTCCCAGGAGTCCCCACCCCAGCCCCTCACCCTGGTCATGCCTCTCTTCTGGTGTCCCCCTTGAAAGCACCTCGCTGTCCCCCTCCTCAGCCTGGTGATCGCTGTCCTGGTGGATAACTTCCAGATGGCACTGCTCAGAGGCCTGGAGAAAGTAAAACAGGAAGTGCCACACGGGGCAGATGTCCTGGGAAACATGAGGGGGGGCCAGGGTGCTCCAGGGATGGGGGCAGGGGACTCCAGCAGGACTGAGACCTCTTCTCTTCAGAAGGCCGCCCAAATCCATGAGAATCTGCTGGAAGACTCACTGACGGAGCTCAGGCAAACAGGTACTGCCTAGCTGCCCAGACCCTGTGCCACCCCGGGGGCATAGGCAGTCTCTGTCCACCCTACCTCCTTCCACAGCTGGACACAGAATTACCCCCAATTTTACAGTTTTAGAACCTAATGACATGGAAGGACTTTTGGAGTTTGGTACCTTGATTCAAAGGCCTCTAGGACAATCTTCTAAAGCGAATTGCCTCTATTGTCCATTCTAGAAAGACCCACTTGGAAAACAAATAATAAGCCAAAGTCTGATTCACCAAACTCCCATTCCTATTAATAACTTAGGAAGTTCATGAAAGTCACTCTTCCATGATGGTTTCAACTGCCTTTGTGGATTTCATTAAGGTTGTATATACTTGTCTGGAGTCTCTTGACCCAGATTGAGAGCCTACGAAAATAAGTTTGCCTGTGTGTTCATTTTTCACACCTCACTTCCTGGATGTATTGATTTTGAGCCTGATGGTTTTCTTCCTGCTGAAAGATCCTCAGAACTTGATGATGATGATGATGATGATGATGATGATGATTTCTCTTTTTGTATCGGAGATTGAACCGGGGGTGCTTTACCAACTGAGCCACATCCCCAGCCATTTTTTTGTATTTTATTTTGAGACACGGTCTCACTAAGTTCCTTAGGGCTTTGCTAAGTTGCTGAGACTGGCCTCAAACTTGTGATCCTCCCCAGAACTTTGAAATCTGAGCTCTAGAATCCCACTCTTAGGATCATTCACAGGGCCACCTCGAGTGGTTTAATTAAAAAGAAGGAAAGAGAGAGAGAGAGAAGAGAAGAATAGAAGAGAAATTTATTGGCTCCAATGACTTAGCAAGTTGAGGGTGCATGGGCTTTCGAGAATGGTTTGATCCAGCCAGGTGCAGTGGTGCACGCCTGTAATCCCAGCTACTTCAGAGATTGAGGCAGGAGGGTCACAAGTTCAAGGCCACTTCAGCAATCTAGTGAGGCCCTAAGCAATTTAATGAGATCCTGTCTCAAAATAAAAAAGGGTTGGGGATGTGGCTCCATGGCAAAGTCCTGGGTCAAATTCCCAGTACCAAAAAAAAAAAAAAAAAGAAAGAAAGAAAAAAAAGAATGTCTTGATCCAGGGCACAAATGATGATCAGAATCTGGTCTTTTATATTTGCTCTATGGGCATCTGTGTGGGTTTGTTTTTAGAGTGAGTTTTCCCTTGGATAGCAAAAGGGTCACCAACAAGTATAGTGCCAAGTCCTTACAGTTTAGCTAACCATACCTCTACCAGCAGAAAAGTGATGGTCTTCTGCAAATTCCAACAAAATCCCAGAAATGAGCATGCTTAGTTCCAGTAGAATCATTGCCTAGTTTTGAACCAATCACGTAGCCTGTAACTGGCCGGGCTGCCCTCACGTGTCCTTGGAACTGTGGAAAGAGCTAACCTCCAGCAAGACAACATGGAACTAAGGGGTGGCTCCACAAGAAAAGTGGGGTTTAGCTCAGTGGTAGAGCACTTGCCCAGCACGCGAGAGGCCCTGAGTTCCAAACCCAGCACCACAAACACACGTAAGAGGGAATGGAGCGGGATGGGGACATGCTTTGTGCCTGGAGAAGCAAACTCTTTGGGCATCAGGGATGGAAACACCTTCGGCCCTCTCTGTGAACCTCCATGACGCTGGCGTTCCTCCTCCCTGCAGATCCGGGCATCTTCCTACTCACCCACCCCACCCCGCCCCACTTTCTCTTTTTCCAGAGCCTGAGGAGACAGTGAGCGAGACCACCCTGTGGAATCAGTTCATCGACCGAAAGTTTGGGGCCATGACTGACAAGTGAGAAGATGAGAAGGGAGGGTGGCCTCAGGTCAAGTGAGGCAGTCTTGGGGCTGGCAGTAGGACTGGAGGGAAAGGGACATTGCCACCTCTGTGCAAGGGAGTGGAATGGGGTTGGGATGTGGAAACCAGGAGTGGCCCCTGGCTGCCTGCACCATGGGACCTTCCTGTAGCAGGGATTCTGCTCCTCTCTTTCCTGAGACCCCTCTGTCTGAAAGCCAGGTGCTGCCCTCCCCCGTCCAGCCTCTGGGCTCCTCTCATCCAAGAGAAAATCCAAGCTTCATGGCCTGCATCCAGGGCCCTGTCTGACTAGTCCTCTGCTAACCTCATATCATTGCAGCCACCAACCCCCAACTGGCACAACCTTGTTTGCCCACACTCTTTCCCAAGCATGGCACATACTTCTCTACCCATAGGCCTTTGCCTGCATTGTTCTCTGCCTGGAATGTTCTCTGGATGCTGGTGTCAGGCTCAGTTGACCAGGAGTTGGGAGAGTTCAGTTCCAATCCTGGCTCCAGTTGTCTCCTGGGGCGCTCTCCTGTTCATCCTTCATGTTCTAGCACCTGACCACTCTGGTCTGGGCTCTCAGCACGCGGAGACACTTTCCTTGGGGATATCATCCCCATAGGGCCCCTCCCCCAAGAGTGGTTCTTGGTGTAACCTTGGCTTTTCCCCCCTCCTCTGTTCCCCCTTTGACGTTGCTTTGACACTTCTCAGATGCACCTCAACTAACTCACCCACCCGCTGCAGCAGCTTCCCCTGAAGCCTGCCCTGAGCCCCACAGTTATTGAGATTCAGAGCTCTCTCTGAATGTTCTTGAGATTCAGAGCTCCAGGAGCCCTGCTCCAACCTGGCATACTCCCAAATTTCTTCCAAACTCAGTTCAGTGACAGTCCCTCACCTCTAAGGACAGTCCCTCCTGAAGCCTTTCTAGACCCCCAGCACTGGGGGAGGTTCCCCTCCCTGTGCCCTCAGCACCCTGTGTTTACACTTAACCAGAGCAGGTCAGTGTTCTGGCTCTGGGGGCAAAGTCTGTTTCTTATTCATCTATGTCCTTGGAGCATCTTACAGTGTTGGCTGTATTTGATGGATAGATTGGTAAGATCCAGTGGAGTGATGAATGGGGTAGAAGGGCTGGTGGGTGAATGGGGGAAGGGGTGGGGGTTTAGGTGGATGGTTTCCCGCACAGTATGGTCACGGTGTAGGTGGATGGGTGATCTAGGGAGGACCAAGTGAGGGAAGGGTGGGGTAGATGAATGTGGGTGGGTGGTTAAGTGGGTCTATGGAGAGGCTTGGTTAGATGAGGGAGCATCAGATGGGTAGGTGAGCAATTTAATTCTGGAATTCTCCATGGTGCAGGCAGACATGGGGGCTGTTCTAGGTACTGAGAAAGAAACAAAATAGAAAAGGAGGTCTTGGGTGATGTAAGTTTTGGGGGAAATTGGCAAAAAGAGCCATGTGGGAGCTCTGGGGGCCCAGAAAGAATACAGGCAGGCCAGCAGAGTCCAGCCTCCCCCACCTTGTCCCTTCAGGCAGCGGGAGCTCCAGTTCCAATTCCTGCAGCTGGTGGCTGGGGTGGAATATCAGCAGCAGAAGTTCCGTTCCCAGGCATCTGTCATTGATGAGATTGTTGACACAGCATTTGAGGTGAGCCAAACAGGACAGGAAATGGGGGACCTAGGGATCTTGCCAGAAGTGGCCCCAGAGTAGTTAGTAGTCACACAAGGCACTGGCTCCTTCATGCTCCCATCCCACAGGCTGGAGAGGAGGACTTCAAGAAGTGACCCTGGAGAGTGCCACCAGATACAGACCCAAGCCTCTGGCAAGCTGCCCACCTGGAGTTGGGTGTTGGGATAAGTCCCCAACTTTGCTACCGTGGTTGTCTGGGCCCTGCAGGAATTGGGCCCCAACAGAGTTTTTACACCCCAGACGATTTTGTGTCTTCTATGGCTGTGCAAAACACAGGGCAAGGGAACTTGTGTGGTGCCCCTGGGGGTGGGATGAAGGGTGGTGTTGGCTATCCTCTCAGCCCAGCAGCACATTGGCAACAGCCAGAAGAGTGATGCAGAAAGTGGTTTAGGCCCAGGGACTGGTGGTGCTGGTAAGGGACAGAGGGAGCAGTAGCCCACTTAGGGGAGGAAGGCCCATCTGGCCCATAGGTCAACATTATCGAGGCCTGGGGGGACCAGTGGGCTCCAGGAATGGGGCTCAGACCCCAGAAATTCAGGCCTAGCAGCACCATGAGCATCCAGTATAAGGACATCAACCTTGGGGATATCGGGTCTGAGGTCATTGTCATCCACCCTGCCCTCTGCCTGGGTTTAGACTACAGAGCCTCAGTAAGGAGGGTGGAGGAGGCTGCTCAAGTCCTTCTGGCCTCAGGGGAGGTGCGAGCAGTAGGTAAGTGGGATGGACCAGCTGCATTGGGAGATTCCCCTATTTATAGCCTGAGTCTGGACAGGCTGTGGCCATGGCTGGGCTAGCCTGTGCTAGATACTGCAGACCTAGCACTAAATCAAGTTCAAGCCAAGTCTGAACCTTGAGGGTCCCCACCCAGTATTGGGGTCTTCCACCATCTACAACCATCTCACCCTTAGTGGAGGCCAGTCCAGGGTGCAGCAGTTTTGATAACCACCTCTGCCTCTGGGCTGGACCAGACAGTGGTAGAGCCCCCGTGCCTTAGGACAGAAGCAGCTTCCCCTTCCTAGCCTAGCTGAGGACACAGGCTGGCCCAAGGTCCAGGAATGGACTGTGCAGAGGAAATGCCATCTAGGTTTGGGCAGAGATTCCAGGGATGGAGAAGCCACTAGGCAGTCATCCCTGGGATTTGCCTCACCCCAAGATCTCACGCATTCATTCATCAAGCATTTTCTGCCACCTACCCTGCATTGGTCCTGTGTTGGAGCCTCCTGCTTGGTGTCACATGGAGCACTTCCAAGCCAGCCACACACACACTAGCTGTCTGGGCTGTCATAGCCAGCAGGGTCCAGCAGGAGCAGGGCTAGAAGTTATTCCTCATGTCCCTGTCAAACCCTCAGCTACTCATGTCAGGTGGAACTCAGCATCTATTTTGTAACTCTCCATCTTCATCCTTGTGTAGTCCCCTGTGACTGAGCAGCAGGCAAGGAGCTGGCACTGAAGCTCATAACATCCCACCACTAGGTGGGGCCCAGGCAGGAACAGGTGGGGTATAGAGACATTTGGAAAGAAGGGCGTGTGGGCAGCAGAGAAGGAATGCCAGAGCTCTCTCCATGCCATCTCTGGGCTTGAACACTGCTGACAACCAGAACCCCCAAGGCACCAGCTTACTGCCCCCTGTCCTGGGTGTGGGTGCAAGTTGGTGCATCAAAGAGAGACTCCCAGGTGGGAATGCGGGGCTCTGGCTAGTGTCTGGGGTCTGCAAGCCCATCTCTAGGCTATCTTGGGGTGCTGCTTCTGTGTTTGCTTTGCTTCTGGGTTGCTAGGTTGTGTTGCTGGGTAGTTGGTTGCTAGGTGGGCGCTGGTGTTTTTTTCAGGGCATGTATATGGTGTCTGGGAACATCTGAGTGTGTCCTGTGGGTTTATGGGTGTGAATGTCTGTAGAGTTGAGGGTTGTAGGTGTGAGTGGGTGTGTCTGAGTATGCACTTCAGCCACAAATTCAACTATGCAAGAAATGTTGCAACCCTATTTTCTTTAAGTGACATTCAGTCAGAACTATTCCTCATGTGGGCAGCAGGTTTGCACTTGCTCCCTCTGGGGCTCCATGTCCAGTGCCTTGTCATGTTCCTGGCGACAAAAACACTCAGGATCACTCCAGGGGAACTGGGCTGCGCGAAATAACCACACAAGAGCAGAGATACCTTTTTCTTTGGGAGTCCTGTGACGGCTCCTCTGAACTTAAGGGTCCACAGAAAGAGAGCCAGCATGTTCTGACCCCTTTTATTGAGGAGAAGCCATTCAAATGAGGCCAGGGGTCAGGTTTCAGGGGGTTGAGTCTAACTTCATGATGTCTGCTGTCAGCAGGTTGACTGACATCTAGGAAGGCCACACCCAAAGGGCATTTCCATGGAACATTCTTTCCCAAACAGGGCAAGGGAGTAATATCACAAAGGAACAGGTGAGCGTAGCTCGACCCCTGAGGCTGCAGGAAGGCACGCCTATGCATGAAGACCCATTCTGCTACTTCAAGGATCAGGGCAGCTGTCTAGGGCCACTGTGAATGTGGCCAGATCACTATGAAAGTGACCAACAGAGCCTCTACCGATCATAGGAAGGAAAATGCTGGTCACTCAGCACGATGCCCCAAGTGCCTTCCAGGGGTCTTGCCAAGGGAACCTGGGGGGGTCCTACTAGTGAGAATGTAAGAGGCAATGTCCTGGCCTCATGGCTCTTGGCCAGCAGTGGCTGTGTAAGACAACTTTGGGCCACACACAGACATATGAGCATTAGTGGGCCGGAAGCTCAGTGTCTAGGACCCAATGGGCTGGGCACCCCACATGCATGCCTGAGCTTCTCCCAAGTGCTGAGAGGAGCAGGGCATGGGCTCCCCTTCTAAGTGCTCACAGACACTGTCCCCGGCTAGTCTTGGGATACAATCCCTCTTCTGTGACTTTGTCTCCTGTCTGTTACCTGAGGCTAGTGGGAGTCTGTGATTGGGGACCCCAGAATTTGTTTCCTCATGTCTGTGATGCTGGAAAGTTGGAGATCCCCAGATTCAAGGGCTGAGCCCTGAACTGTCAGTGCTGTCTGGGCTGGGATAGCACCCCCTGGAATACCATGGGTGGCTCGTCAGCTGGGGAATGTTTGGAGCCATCAGTAGCTGGGTGGAAAGTGGGGAGTGGAGCACACAGAAGAAACCAATGCAAGAAGCAGTGCCAGTGATTTATTGCAGAAGATGTGGCAATGGCTCTGAGGTGCCCTCCACCATGTGTCCCTTCATCCGCTCCCGCCTGGGGGCCGATTACACTTGCACACAGTTGTGTTTGAGAAGCTGAGAAGAGTTCTTCCAAGGGACTTCGAGGATCTCAAAGTCACAGCGCAGCTTCTGTAGAGAGCCAAGGCACAGGGAGGGGTGAGGCCAGCCCAGGGGTCAGCCTCCTCCCAGGAGCCAGCTCTCTGCCTGCCTTGTCACTCTGGGGCCACAGAGGGGCAATCACTGGCCCCAGCGACACATAGTCTGATGATGGGACTAGATCCCAGGTCTTTCCAGCAAATCCCCCACACCCAGGAAAGCTCCAGCCTCTCCTCTTGCACCTCACACTGGCCTGAAGCTGAGTCACCCAAAAGCAGGGCAAGTTCAGCTAAGTCTCTGCCCAGCCAGCCAGACCAGCTCAGATGGGACAAGCCCAGGGCCTCAGGTTCTGTGCAGGGTGCAGGCTTGGGGCAGTGCTGTTACCTCCTGCTGCACCCCTGTGGCCAGGGGGCAGGTGGTGAGGTCCACATGGTCTCCAGAGACCCTGGTCTTCCGGCACGCTGTGCTCTCCATCTCCACTGTCAGGTAGTACTTGATGCCAGCCACCAGCTGGGGAGGAGCCAGGTAGGTGAAGGGTGCCAGGGAAACAGGCCTGGATATACCCCTCCCTCCCTCCATTGTGCCCCACTGCCCCAAGCACATGCAGGGCTCTGAGCTGGGGACCCAGACCTGGAATGCGTGCGTAAGGGGCTCTGGTGGGTCCTGGTGCAGGGGGAAGGGGCAGAGGGAAGAGGCCGGGTCCCTTCAGGAGGCTGAGACCCACCTGGGCACACCTTCTCAAAGCTGAGGCCGTCACCAGGGAGAGGCTATTGTCCTGTCCCTTCTGCCTCCCCTTTGCCCCCATCTAGCAGGGACCAGGGGGATTCTAGTGAAGGGAACTCTGTATTTACAGGATTGGATCCTGAAACTTGGTTCATGGTGGATTTTTCATTTTGAGAAGCCAGGTATGGTGGCGCACGCCTATTATCCTAGTGGCTTGGGAGGCTGAGACAGGAGAACCATGCGTTCAAAATCAGCCTCAGCAAAAGCAAGGCACTAAGCAATTCAGTGAGACCCTGTCTCTAAATAAAATCCAAAAACAGGGCTGGGGATGTGGCTCAGTGGTTGAGTGTCCCTGAGTTCAACCCCCATTACCAAAAGAAAAGAAAAGAAAGCACTGTATAGTGGGCAGGGGTGCAGCTTGGTGCTTGAGCACTTACTTAACATGCCCAAAGCCCTGGGTTAGATCCCCAGTGTCACAAAAAATAAATGAACATTTAAGAAAGCATTGTGGGCTGGGGCTGTAGCTCAGTGATAGAGTACTTGCCTTGCATGTATTATGTGGGTTTGATCCTCAGCACCACATAAAAATAAAGATATTGCACGAACTACAACTAAAAAAAATTTTTTTTAAGTATCGTATGCAATATTGCTTTCTGCCTTGGCATCCCCTTTACTGGGCACCTAGGCAGTGACTAGCCCTGGCGGGGTTCCCTTGCCCAGCTCACCTGGCTCTGCGCCTTGATGACGTTCGTGTCGCGGAAGTAGTAGAGGCTATTGCTGCCCATGTTGTAGCTGGCCACAGCTGCCTGCGCCGCCCTCTGCACCTGCGGGTCGTTGGGAGCCAGGTCCTGGCGTTCTCCAGTCCTGCGGCCTCGCGGATCAGCACGGGCGTCAGGGGACAGCGCCAGGAGGCAGAGCGCGATCAGAGCCAGGCCCATCGCCAGCGGGAGGTGAGAACGTGCCATGGCTGCAGTGTCAGTGCCAAGCCGAGGCCTGTGCTGCTTTTACGGGCTCCCTGGCCCCGCCCGGCCCCGCCTGCCGCCAGTCGCCCCCGGATCCCGGATCCCTGCACGGTGCCTTCCCCACCCCCAGGTCCTGCAGGCTGGGC